TGTGACATCACGAACGTTATCAATGTCAAGGACTTTCGGCGAGACGTATTCTTGCTTTCTGTTGATGCCAAGTGCGTCTGTGCACAACATAACACTAAAATAGTTGCCTTAAACCAAATATTAAAAATCTAGTCCCAATAATCCCGAGTGCCAAGTTTTTAATTTGACTGAGTATAGTTAAACATATTTTTATATGAGGTAATGAAATATATGTGAGATTAGGACGTTGAAAGTAAGACAAATCTGGGTTGGCAAAATAATTGTATTTAAACAAAACTTTCATGACAAATATTTTTCCAGAAAAGTTGTCGGCTCACAGGACCGACCCAACATCTTCGAATTCGAAACATATCGGCCAAGTCTGTGATTTGTCGGCGCCAGGCGGCCGACGGTCCGACGTATTTTTTAAACACTGCGTTGCCCCATATTGAGGAACTTTAGACACTTTAAACGGCTCTAAGTACTTTTCTTCGTTAGATCTCAAAAGTGGATATTGGGAAATCGAAATGAAGGAAGCAGATAAGGAGAAGTCTGCGTTTACGACAGGTAATTTAGGGTTTTGGGAATTCAATTGGATGCCGTTTGGATTGCCAAATTCACCGAGCACATTCCAACGTTGTTTAGAGCGTTGTATGGCAGATTTACATCTTTTTCACTGCTTGATATATATTGATGACATTGTAATTTTTTCAAAAACTTTCGAGGAGCTATTCATCGTTTGAAGTCTGTATTTTCACGTCTTAGGAAACATAATTTAAAACTGAAGCCAGCAAAATGTGAATTTTTAAAATCGTCATTGAAATACTTAATGCATATAATTTCTGAGGAAGGTGTTAGAGCTGATCTCTGAAAAATTTCATCTCTCACAAATTGGCCAATTCCAGCTAATACTTCTGAAGTTCGTAGTTTTTTAGGATTTTGTGGTTATTTTAGTCGTTTAGTAAAAGATTACTTAGTCATAGCTAAGCTTTTGGCGGATCTGTTAAACGGTGAATCTACCTGTAAAAGAAGAAATCTAAGTTAGTTCAGGATGGAATTCGTAGGGTTATAGCTTACGCTAGCCGAAGTTTATCTAAAAGTGAAAAGCATTATTCTGCACATAAGCTTGAATTTTTGGCATTCAAGTGGGCAATAACAAGAAAATTTCATGATTACTTATATGGAAAAAAAATTACAGTTAAAACTGATAATAATTCACTCACTTATGTGCTTTCAACTGCTAAATTGGATGCTACAGGGCATAGATGGCTTGCTGATATTTCTGCATATGATTTTTCAATTGAATATTTATCTTCGTCAAAGAATATATTCCTGCTGATACACTTTCTAGGCTTCCACTTAATATGGACAGTTCTGTTGTTTCTGCTATAACAAATTTTCATCAGGTTGATATAGGTAAAATTGAGACTATTTCTTTAAATCAGGAGGTAATTAATTGTTTGTCATGTCCAATTCTGGATGTTCCCCATTGAATCTACAAATATACTTGATAATTCTCTCATTAGAAAGTCTCAAAATGATTGTTTAGGAATTAAAAATATTATTTATTTTGTGAAATGTGGATGTCAACCATCTGATGTTTTTCTGCGTTATATATTGATAGAGAATCTGCTGCAATTTTTCGTCATTGGGATAATTTAGTTTTAAAAGATGGAATTCTATGTAGAAAATTGAATTCACCAGATTCTTCGGATTGTTACATAATGAATTGGGAAATGTGGGTGGACACTGCATTGGGTTTTGTAAAATCACGCTTGTTTTGGCCGTATATGACGAAGTATGTAGAAGATTACGTCCGCACTTGTGATCGCTGTATTCATCGAAACACCCCACAATTGAATATTAGAGCAGTCATTGCAAGAAATTGTAAATATTTCTACTTCTGAGCCCCTTCAACTTGTATGTACAGATTTTCTTTCACTTGATAAGCCATCCAAAGGTAATATTGAAAGTATTCTTATAATTACCGTTCATTTTACAAAATTGGCTGTTGCCGTACCTAAAACTACTGCTAAGGCCCTACTTCATCATTTCTTTTTGCCCAATGGAATTCCTTCCCAACTACATTCAGATCAATGACGCAATTTCGAAAGTAACATCATCAAGGACATTTGTTTTATTCTTGGCATTCAAAAATCACGCACAACTCCATATCACCCCATGGGCAATGGTCTCTGTGAATGCTTTAATCGTACGCTTCTTAGCTTGGGACATTATCAGAAGAACAGAAGAAAAAATGGAAAGATTATGTACAGTATTTAGTTTTCATTTATGATTCTACCAAACATGATTCGACTTTATTTTCACCATTTTTCTTAATGTTTGGTAGAACTCCTAGGGTACAATTAAATTATGACTAAAAAGTACGCGGTGCAGTGTTCCATGTGGGAGATATTGTTTTAGTAAGAAATGTCCAAATAAGGGGTAAGAATAAGTTAGCAGACAAAGGGGAGAATGATTACTATGTATTTATTTCACAACCTAATATGAATGTTCCAGTTTTTACAGTTCAGAGAAATAACTACTTCCAATTTCTTCAGTCGCTCAACCAATTTTTACACCCAGTCCACGTATTTCAACCCCCTCACTTACCTCTGTGCCTCCCATTCCAAAACCACGCTCATTTGTTCCGTCAGTTCTTGTTTCTAAGAGTTTGCTCCCATATTCCAACATTTCGTGATGATCTTTGCGACATGGATAGTACCATTCCCCTAGGTCTGGTTAGTGTAAGTTCTACAAAGCTCTCTGACAGTGAAAATTTGATTCAGTTCGATGATGATGAAAATAATAGTTATAAAGATGATGATTATTTTATTGCTATTTTCTGATGAGCCCAATGATTCTTTAATAGATTTATCTGTAAAGTCGCCCCATAGATCCCCTGACAATGATAGACATCTGATGCCTGGCTTTTATGAAATAATATTAAGATATAATTTCTGTTAGTATTTACTATTGGTTGTTTTTTCATAATTAATATACATAATAATGTTTGAGATGCTACTACCATGCCGTTAGTTCATATTTTTGGTAATTTATATCCGGTTGGAATATCTGATTTTTGAGACTTGGATCAACGCAGTTTTTTATATTTATTTGATTTGGACCGTCCATAGTTTTTGATTTTGATTATGAGTATAGGTTGATTTGGATCGTACTTGGATTTTGATTTTTGAATTGTATTGATTGTATGTGTATCGGTTATTTTAATGGGATTGTTGTTATCAAGTGCCGGGACGCCACTTTTCGGGGTGGGGGATAGTGTAGTAGGGGGAAATTTATAAATGTTTTGTTATATATATGTAAATAAAGTTTATGTAATAAATGGTGTATGTGTTTGTATCTGCTTGGTGTCTTGGACAGGACCGTAACTAGCTCAGAGCAACAAGGGGGCGGGAAGTGTTCTCAGGGGTGCTGTAATATTGACGGACAATGTATATCTATTTTCTTATGGTCGAAAAATTTTTCACAGGGGGGGCACCCCCCCCCCCCCCTAGTTACGGGCCTGGTCTTGGAATCTAGCCAAGATGTGGTGTCCAGTGTGTTGTGTTGTAATTGTGTTCACTGCGTTCTTTTAATAAGTTTACCTGGTTTGCACCCTCATTCTTGCTTAAAACAGCACTTATATCTTGACATGACTAATGACAAGAAGACTCTTGTATATTCTTTAGCTTCAGGTATATTATATTTCTTGTTTTAGTAATTTTAACAGGTTTTATATATCATTATCAGTAAATATATTTATTTAGCTTAGGGTTATGTCAATAATTTAAGTAATAATTCTTGTTATAGAAGTTTCCCTAATTTATATATAATTTCATATCTTTAGTTTTCTCGCCATGTTTCGCCCTCTTCCCTAGTGGTCTGTATTTATTGTGGTGTTTGTTTTATTTTAGCTTGTGTAATATAGTCTTTACCAGTACTTGTGATAATTAAAACACCTTTATAAGGGTATATTTAGTTTTATTGTTTTTTCCTCTTTAACTTTTTAAATGTATTTAGTTCAGATTATATTTTATGTTTCTTTTGTATATTTATTTCTATTTTGATTATGTTCTGTTTGACTTGTATGCATCTTTGTAATATCTCTGTATTTATATTTTCAGTGTTTTTTTGTTCTTTCGTTTTGGTATTCTCTGAATAAACTATTAGAATCAATACTGTTCGGCTCCTCTATAACCTACAAATCCCCGAGTGATAAAGCTTTGGTTGCATCAGCATTAAGAGAGTGTTGTATTAGGAGGTCATATATTACTACGTGAGATCGGGGGTGGGGTGGGGGTGTATAAGAGTTAACACAACAACCACCCTCACCAACACTCAAACATTTTACTTTAACTCCAACTAAATATTCCAACCTCACCACCACTCTAACATTTTAATCAACAAACAATAAGACAATAATACGTGACAATCTTGACTATTTAATTACAGCTTTGTTTTAAGATAGTTTTGTATTAGGAGGTCAAATATTACCAGGAGTGATCGCGTGGGTTGGGGTGTATATGAAGATAATCGATACAATATATTTTACTATAAGTCATACCTAACATCGTTCTGGTCAATATCTAACCTCCTTCGGATCGTGGGGGGGGGGGGCTTGCCTAACACTATGACCACCACACCGCCACTCTAACATTTTACTTTAACTAAATAAAATTAGAAACAAGAAGATAATCGGTACAATGTATATCACTATATCCCCCCACACCCCAAGTCAGTGGTGTGCAGACCGGAGGGCACGGAGGGACAACGTATAGTTCGTTCGGATTGGACAAAAAACGAAGTTCCCATGGACACATTATCGGAGCAGGACAGTAGGGAAGTTAAGCCCCATTTCATTTCATTTTTTTATTAGATTATAAGTAATAAACAGGGGTTAGGGGAAGGGCGAATGGTTAACCTCCTTCAGACCCTCCACTACCCCTTCACACACACACTCACACATTATGCAAATGTAACAGGGTTTCTAAAAATGGACGAAACACCAGGTCGGAGGTTCACTATTTTATTGTGGAATTGTCAATAAGTATATAATACAGATAAAAGAAACCGCTGAAAAACATAAAGGAATGTATAAATATCAAAAATAATCATTTACATTATATACATTTATTTCAAGTTCTGGCGGGAAGTTCATTAATCGGAAACAAAGGAATGAATAAGATATTTACAATGAGAGAGAGAGAAATGGGGTTTAACGTCCACTCGATACAAACATAGGTCATTTCGGGACTAACATGGTTTAATTTTATTTCAATAATTCGCTTGCGCGTAGGGGTCTTTAGCAGTGGGAGAAAACCAGAGGACCCGGAGAAAACCCACGAGATTGGACAGGCCACCCTACTCCTTCTCACGTACAACCGGGGATTCGAAACCACGCCAGTTGACTCAATGACAGGCCGTATGATACAGCACGCGCGTGCTACCCCCCCCCCCCTTATATTTACAATGAGTTCTTCACTAATATAATTACATACAAATACATATACATACCCTATAAAATAGAGTTTATAAAAGGGCTGATTATTTTAATATGGCTACTATAAAAACACGGTAATACAAGACTGAAATTAACACTATGATGGATTAAACTAAGTATAATATTCTAGAAATGCACAAATATAATTCTAGAAATACTTATAGAAATATACTAATAACTTAATTATTTCATATATAAAATATATTCTAATTACATTTCCATATTAAATAGATAAAATAGTAAAGTCAGTCAAATAAATATAAAACTTACCAAGTGACAGAATGTGATCCTCCTTGTAACAAGGTTAAGATGCAAGTACAAATTGAAAGAGAAGCTGAGATGTGGTTATTAATTAAAAGCTAGTAGAGTTTAGACTTGCTATTGTAAAGACATTGTTGACCAGCTTAGATATGTATTATTAAAGGGACAATGCAACAAACACCAAATATACCATAAATAACCAATATATTAAAGGGGCAATAATACAACAAATACTCAAGATACAATAAATACAAATATACACTACCACACAAAACAAAAGGAAAGGTGTGGAACCCATTAAAACATCATATCAAAATAATCACTATATTATACCATCAACAGTAAGCCACCATGTCCTGGTCTACAACACCAAGTTGTTCCAGGCTATAGTCAGTCTTCTTGCTGTTACCACTGTTGTAGATGCGTGCCCCACTCCCATCTCTATATCTCACTATGCCAATCCTTCTAATCTTCTTCACATTCTTCTTCTTTTTTATCAACTTCTTTAAATCATTAACACTAACTTTCTTACTGACAGTTATAGTACCCATATCTTTACATCCATATCTATTAATACAGGTTAATATATTATATCATTATCAACCGATATAAATTCAGGTTCATATATTATATCATTATCAACTGATATAAATACAGGTTAATATATTATATCATTATCAACTGATATAAATACAGGTTAATATATATATTATATCATTATCAACTGATATAAATACATCACATTGGTTCACTAGTCAGTATATTTTTCAAGTCACCTCTATTTATACATCAGGTAATATTAATTGGTTATTATTCATATAGAAACAAACCACCAGTCGACAGACGTCTACGGTCAAGATTTCTTGTTACATTTGGTAAAGTTTAAAACCATTAAACTCATCAACATATATATGAACAATAACCAATTAATATTACCATCAATTTGTTATGTAATTAAAAGGAACACATATACTTACGTGTAAAACACCAGTAGAGTAATATCATCACTCGTATTTATCTTATAATTCCTAGTATTAGTGCTGGTGTTTGTTGTAACTTCTGATTGTTCTACTTTCTTCTTAAATGCTTCCAGGTCAGCCACCCTGTCTTTTAATTCAGCTATTTCTTCATCTTTTCTTTCGAATTTTTCATCCATCTCTTCAGTTACCCGGTTCATTTGGAACCTGATGTCTTCGAACTCGTAAGTGAGTTCGTTCATTTCAGTCGGGTTACTACTTTCACTTATTGTGTTTGATGTTCCAATCTGTACAGCTTGACAATCACCATGTATATTATACATGTAGGTATTGTTGGTAACGGTTGATATCTGGAATGGAAAATAAATAAACAACCAGTCTCTACTTGTAAATATTATTACAATAATATCTCTCATCTTAGATATGATAATTATCGACGCATATAAATATCAGAAAGAGAGTTGTAAATTAAGAAAACGATGTATACAGTCCTAAGCGCATTCTCGGTGGACAAGGGGTCAGTTGTGTACAGACATTTGTCGATGCCTGAAGTCCTTGATTATTTTCCTCAAGACTTAAGCATAGGGTCAAGTAGTCAAATACGTAAAAGTTTAAATATATACAATAACAGATGAATTAATCTTTGTATTCAAATTAAATATAAATCGGCCACATATCCCTTCTCTATATGTAACACGACGTCTACGCTGGTGTCGCCTATTGTAAACAAAGATGAATATTCACATAAGTTTTAAAATGTTTACCCTATGATTGGCTGTTCGATAAAACCCTACCACCCCACCTTCCGTCAAATCCTTTGTCCACTCCCCCTCCTTCTTGTAAGCCACCGATGATCGGTGTGTCTATTTCTGTCGTGTGATTCTCTAAAAAACAACGATGGCGAATTATTGACGTCATCAACTGAGCATGAAATCAAACCAATATTTAACATCCAGTGTCATTTTATAACCATGACGTAGTTGTACTTACAGCGGTGGCCATTCTCCTTGTGCTTTTATTGTATGACAACTTTCTTCCCGTAGGAACTTACTAAAGACAAACTGAACTGTATAATACTGAACCAGGGGGATTCTATATAAAAATTACCAATTGGAATAACCCAGTCAATGTATAGTGTATTAATCACGACTTATAGTCTTGTATAACTTGTCTCGCATCTATTTACGTTGTGCGAGATCAAGTACGAGAAATAATTATAATATCTCTACACCCATGGTTAGCCATTCTCGATAAAGAATACATTCTTGAACATTAATACAATACTTTACTGTATTATATGTTTAACCTAAATATATAATGACTGAATGCTCACCTGTTGTTTGAGCTATAGGAGTTAAGTTGTGTCTGGATAATTTCGACTATTGAATTCTGGAAACGGATGTATATATAAGACATCATTGGAAATCCCAGTCTATTAATACGTGTTACGAAATGGGCCCAGGTTGGTAATCACCACGCCCATTAACTCTAACATTAATTTCATATCGTCATCTGTTTGCCCAACCGGGTTTATATTGTAACATACTTGACTTTTTTAAAGAGACATGTTTTTATAATAAATTTTAATTGTATATTTATCATTTCATTTTTGTATTTTAAATATTAATATGCATAAAAGGTTTATTTGATTTTTAATTTTATTTACTGTGACATTGTTTTTATTTATGCTTATAATATTTTTTCTGTGATATTTATTTATCTTGTCTCACACAAATCACCATATGTTTGGCGCAATATAGCCCGGTGGGTGCTGACGTGCCATAAAACTACATTTCATTTCATTTCATTTCGTTAATTTCATATCAAATGTCTACCTATCGTTATTCTATACATTCCGATAATCTTAATCTATATATCTTACTAAAACCCATCATTTACCAATTATCTGATCATTGAACACAAACTAGGTCATTTCGGGGACAAACATATCATTCAATTTTATTTCAATAATTCGTCCAACCTCGTGGGTTTTCTCCGGGTCCTCCGGTTTCCTCCCACTGCTAAAGACCCCTACGCGCAAGCGAATTATTGAAATAAAATTAAACTATATTATGTTAGTCCCGAAATGACCTAGTTTGTGTCGAGTGGACGTTAAACACCATTTCTCTCTCTCTCTTTCAATAATTCGTTAGCGCGTAGTTATCTTTATAGCAGTGGAAGGAAATCGGAGGACCTAGAGAAACCCGACTAGGTTGTACAGGCGACCCGGTGTTTTTGACACTCCAAAAGTGCGAACTGCAAACGCAAAAAAAAAGTGAAAATACGACTTGATGTTTCGTTTATTTCCCGCGTATTTTTTTTTTATTTTTAACACCTCAAAATCTAGAACTACCGGAAAATTCACAACGAAACCAAGAAATCCTATGTGCTGATAATAGAAGAAGGCGTCTATTTTAAATGACATTTCAAAACATGTCTTCTATTCACTTAATTCATTAAATGTTCGCTATTCACTTAATTCATTAAATATTCGCTATTCACTTAATTCATTAAATATTCGCTATCTGTGTTCTGTTTTTGTATGAAACTAATAATCGTCCTAGATATTTTGTCCAGTGTTTTGTTTGTATAATATTCATCGATCTCTAGTTTGTGTTTATCTTTCTTCAATCGGATTGGACGAAAAACCGAGGTCCCGGTTGGGAAATCAAAGACATCGCAGGCCACCCATTCCTTGCCACGTACAAGCGTGGAATCGAAACCACACGAGTTGAGTTAGTGAGGTGGTGCTGGACGAATAGCCTTGCAATGTACAACATGTACACATTTGTGATTTCATTCAAATATATTTATCAAAATACTTTAATTCAGCATTTACTATATTGAAATAACTTTTCAATTTCCAAGGCTAACAACAATTAAATTTCAAACATTTGCCTTATGTAATTTCATTCAGCATTTTACATTGAAATAACTTTTCAAATTGTCAGTCTTGTTTACGTTTAGTGGGTGATTAACCATTGCAGAACCACATTCCCATTGGAATCCTCCATCTTTATCGAAAAAGCCTTCCCTGTTGGCCGATCCCTTAATCCACCGGTGCTTGTAGCACCGAATTTTCCAGAAATGACTCATGTTATAATATTTATAATACAGGAGTTAGAAACTCAACTTCTACATGTGTCTTTATTCATTTAAACATACATTATGCAAGAGCTAATTATGTCTATTGCAGGTCTTTCATTAAACCTGAAATGTTATCTAAATTATTAATTAGACATTAATTAACGTATCCAGACCATAGTCAACTCTCGATGCCATCGCTAGCCTGAAAAAATAATTAAACGGTAAAATGGATAATCGAGACTTTGTTTAATAACGTACCGACTTTAGAAATAATGATCGAGACTAGCCCTAAAATTCAAAAGCTAATATCTCTGTTCAGAGTGGAGCAATTTGACTGACATGTTCAGCATATTCTTTTTACGTTATCTATTTTGTAACTATACTATTCAAAAAAAGTAGGGGATATTTGATTTTGGGGGCATAATACTAAAATATGCAAATGACTAAGAAAAAAGTCACTATAGAACCTAACAGAAGAAACATTTCCAGTTACATGTGACGCCCAAACGCACCAATAGCTACCGCATGGAATGCAGGTGATGCTTGGGATCATCATGGGGGTCCAACCCAAGATTTGCACGACTCTGACTTTGAATGTTACAGTCATTGTGGCATTGAATTCCAGGGTGGAAACATCAGTTTAATTGTTTTAGTGACCAGAAAACAAATTTTGATATGCGTCGGCTTACCCAAAATGAAAGGTTACGTGCCCTTGGCATGCTACAGATCGGCACAACACAGGCGGTTGTGGCGCGGACGATGAATGTTTCTCAGTCTGTCATAAGCAGGCTATGGTCCAGATACCGTGATACACAATCTGTACAGGACAGACCACGCTCAGGTCGACCAAGGGCGACAACTCAAGCCCAGGATCGATTTATCCGTACCTTGGCCTTGAGAAATCGTGTCATCACAGCAAATCAGATCAGCGCTCGTCTTCAAACAGACACTGGTGTGAGAGTGAGTGGCCAGACGATTCGGAATCGACTGCATAGGGGTCACCTTCGCGCCCGACGTCCTCGCGTAATCCCTTGTTTGAGAGATCATCACATTCAGGCAAGACGTCGTTGGTGTAGGGATCGTCAACACTGGGATAATCGACGCTGGAGCAATGTGATGTTTTCAGATGAGTCAAGGTTCACTGTTGATTTTTTGGACAGACGTAGGAGGGTGTGGCGTCGTCGAAACGAGCGCTTCCAAGACGTTAACGTCATCAGACATGATCGATTTGGGGGTGGTTCTGTTATGGTGTGGGGAGGCATCACTGTTGCTGGAAGAACGGCTTTACATGTTGTTGCATGGCGTGTTACAGGCCAGTACTACCGGGACAACATCTTGGCAGTCCATGTTGTGCCGTTCGCACAACGTCATGGCCGCCGTTTCATCTTCCAGGATGACAACGCAAGATGTCACAGGGCCAGGATCGTTACAGGTTACCTCCAACAACAGAACATCACCACATTAGCTTGGCCAGCACTGAGTCCCGACCTCTCCCCCATCGAGCATGTCTGGGACATGCTTGGACAGCGGTTACGTCAACGTCAACAACGTCCTGCCAATGTCCAAGAACTTGCTGCTGCGTTGCAACAGGAATGGGACAATCTGGACCAAAATGACCTTAGACGTCTCATTAGGAGTATGCCACATCGGATCAATGCTTGTTTGGCAAACAGAGGAGGATTTACCCGTTACTGACTTGGTTGTGATGCTGTGGTAACTTTGCTGTTTGACCCCGGGTATCATTTTACCCTTATAATGGTCAGTCTGTGCCTTACTAAGTCTAACGATCATTTGGAATAAATCGATGAATGTGAACTTCATTTCATTTTGTCATTTGTTTCTTCGTCAGTTTCATTAGGTGACTTTAATAACACTTAAAAATCAAATATCCCCTACTTTTTTTGAATAGTATATTTGAACGAGAACTGTCAACCCTTTATCTAATCTCCCATAATGCCCCTTTAAGTCAATTAGTTTATCCCGCGCGAAGTTATAAGTGTTTGATTTTTCGACAACATGTAGCGTAGATTGTTTATTACCGTCACAACCCACTTAGAACTCAGACAATACACCTTTAAACTGTTCACAACTAATAATCAAAGATCAATAACTTGACATAAGGTATAACAATTGCCATAATTATACCGGACGCTGTCAATAGAATTCATCCTTTCGATATTGAATTTAAATATACAGAAAACTTGTCTAATTAGTATAATTATCAAAAAATTACAGTTTATCAATACATGTACACTCAATGCATTGTAGAAATTTTATTGGACACCCATTTTATTGTACACTCAATGTACATGTATTGTAGAAATTTTATTGTATACTCATTGTATTGTAGAAATTTCATTGTACACCCATTTTATTGTACACTCATTGTATTGCAGAAATTTTATTGTATTGTAGAAATGTGATTTTACATTACACTCATTGTATTGCAGAAATTTGATTGTACACTCATTGTATTGTAGACATTTGATTGTACAGCAATTGTATTGTAGACATTTGATTGTACACTCATTGTATTATAGAACTTTGATTGTATTGTAGAAATGTGATTTTACATTCATTGTATTGCAGAAATTTGATTGTACACTCATTGTATGGTAGAGTTTTGATTGTACACCCATTGTATTGTAGACATTTGATTGTACACGCATTGTATTGTAGAGTTTTGATTGTACACCCATTGTATTGTAGACATTTGATTGTACACTTATTGTATTGTAGAAATTTGATTATAATGTAGAAATTTGATTGTATTGTAGAAATTTGATTGTATTGTAGAAATTTGATTGTACACTCATTGTATTGCAGAAATTTGATTGTACACTCATTGTATTGCAGAAATTTGATTGTACACCCATTGTATTGTAGAAATTTGATTGTATTGTAGAAATCTGATTGTACACACATTGTATGGTAGACATTTGTATTTTTAAACCGGATATCAGTCCCAAAATGGTTCAATTTCGTCCTGTATTTACAAAGATATGATGAATTGAAAACTTCCTAGCATTTAAATTTAGTATCCTCTGCTGAGGATAAAAAC